AAGAAGTTAATTCAGCTCTGCAATGCACCATAATCCATTCTGCCCTATCTTTTATTGCGAGTGGAGTTCGGTCAAGTAGACGGGCATCCACTTCCATTAGACACATAACTAGGGGTAATCCTTTCATTTTGCCATGACGAAGTTGACGAGGATGTGGCTGGCACCTCCGTCCATGAAGTTTTTGTTTAGTTTTTTCCCCTGAACTTTACCCTCAAAATAAATTAGGATAATCCGCCACAGATACCCTCCTTATTTAGCTAAGTGTCGTCAACTGCGTGAATTTGTGTCGCGATTCGATGTGGGTCGTTGTTTTCGGGCGAGCTTAATCATTTCTCGGGCTACTGTTATTTTCGTGCGCTTGATTCAGATTGCTCAACTTCTCCATGCATTCCTATTTGTTACACGCAAAACAACGCCCCTTAAATGATGTTAGTGTTATCCCTGAAAACGATTTCCCCCATAGGAACTCGCCCTTTGTCGCCCCAAGGCAATATCTGACATCTTGAGTAAGTTCGTAATTTTGCGGGCTTGAATACTTGCGATGATGTGTTCGAAGCGATGACCAATGCCTTCGCACCACGATGCCACATACTGTACCAATCCGTTTCGCAAAAACTTTCTGGCTAGTTATTACTCGTGAGAAATTGCCCGATCATGCACGGCGTCGCATTCGGCTGCTCAAGAAGTGGTAGTACCTACTGGCACCGCTCCATCGCCAGTTCACATATTAATGGCCGGCGTAGCGAAATCTTTAGGCGTGATAAAAAATCTTGAGGTGAAAGAGCCAGGTGGTAATAGGTAGGCTTCTTTGCATGCGTGGTTTGAAGACAAGCGCCTCTGCATTTTTAGAAGGCCCAGGCGCGATGCTGACGTTGGAGGTATTTGGAATTGCTGCTATAGTTTTCGCTCCTTCACCAACTTTGAATCGGCCAATCATATTGTTCGTCGAGCCTTCGGACGATTTTACACTTGCGATCTGGTTGCATTAAGGAATTTTGGAATGCTGATTCCTAATCGATCATTGTTGTTGCTTAGCGGTGGCTTGTGTTGTGTCGGTGGTGGTGGTGGCTAATGCAATTCGTTGATCTCGCTTTGAAGATCTTCATGCTCTTATTGCGGTCAATCTCATTTGGCACACAACTGTTCTACCGCCTCTTCGTTGGCAACAATGTGACGGTTGAAGAAGTTTTGTATGTGTGTGTGTATTAGCTCCAAGGACCCTCGGAGGTGACCCCGTGGAGCAAGTCTTGTATGCCTGAATCCCTATTCCTAGAGTGTTATTGGCTTCTTATTTTCTAATAGGGGTTGGGAAGTTGCAACTTAGATAATGACGTCGACCTCTCATGAGTAGTGCTTGGTGTGGACGTTGAAGGCTCCAGCCTTTCTCTCGGCTGAAGAGCCAAAATTTATGCATACCAAGTGTTATATGGCAAACGACAAAAATCAGGAGTTGATCGAGGAAGAGAATACAATAGGGAACATCAAAACAACTCCCTAAGCTAGAATACAGCTAGGCACAAAGCAGAAGGTCGAGGCCCGATAGAGATGAGACTTGTGGCGGGAAAATGGCTCGGAGCACACACGAGCAGACAAAGCGCATAAAATGCATACGGCTCAGATGTGGGCCACATTTGGTGATGCAGGTCTAGGCCCTCAAATTCGTTTTAACAAGGCTGACTGCTCAGGCTTGCCCGTGTTAGAACACATTTTCTTCATGGTTGTTTATAGTTTTTAGCATTCCAAGCCAAATTTTGCGAAAGGCGAAGTGAACAGGGTTTTGTTTTCAAGGACGCTGAGCTTAGAAATTTCCTTCGTCTACGTAGGCAAGATAGTTTAGAGCCTTGCTTCATTCATGCAGCAAATCTGTCAAATGACTGAGGGACAACGATGGAACATTCGAAATTCATGTTGTTTCCACATGATACCGGGTCAAGGACCAATCATCTTCTTACACCTGTTCCAGCATGCCTCGGGCCATCTGCACGAATTTGGTTGACCAATCACGCCCCTCAAACGTGCTCCAGCAAGCCTCATGCCACAACAACAACTGCCCAATCGGGGGTACATTGGTGTGGCTAGCCCTATTACTTTTGTGTTGGGGGGGATGGGGGAATAAGGTTCTGTTTCAGGCCAAAATTCCATAAAGGTTGACCCATCAGGCTCACTGAAATAGGAACATATCTTTTTTCCAGGCCTTAGAAAATAGGAACACATGAATTTCAGGTTTGGAAAAAAAAAGGCTGAAAATCAGGCCATGCCCACCATGCTATACGTGTTACCTTTTGCCTTCATTGCAATAGCGACCATGTATTCTCACGTTATTATTAATTGACATTTCCTATATCATAACAACTGGTATCAGAGCTTGACCTTGCCAGGAACCCGTTTTATTTACTTATGTAAGGGTGGTTTGAGGGGATTAGCACGGCTGCACAGCAGTTGCCTTGGGTCCTAAATATTTCTATGCCGGCAACTACAGCGCGTGCGCTAGCTTCTGCCCCGTCCTTACCGCCATGGCCCTGGTAGATTCGACAGTTGAGGAACAATCCACATCGACTGTTGCGAACCCTACCCTAAAACTGTGGACCTGCAAGCATTAATAGAGCAATTGAAGAATCTGACAAGAGTCGTAAACGACCTCTGCGACGAGAACCAGAGACTTTGCCAGGCGCAGGAGAGGCGTGAAGAGAAGTCGGGCGTCGATGCACGAAGCGAGGCGAGTGAGCAGCGACCGTCACCAAGGGAACTAACACGACAGGCGGCAAAAGCTGCGCGCTCGACAAGTGACAGCGTAAGATATCAGCAACCCGCTCCTTTCGGTCCAGCTAATAAAGGCGTGTCGATGCGACAGTGGATATTCGCCATGAATATCTATTCTAACGCAGCGAGCATCAGAGATGATCAGACGTGGATCAGTCGTGTGTTAACACCGTTGCAAGGGGCCGCTCTATAGTGGTGGAAGGTCATCGTTGACTCAGCGACAACTCACACAGTAGGACATCACGAGTGGTCCGAAGAATTCGGCAACGAAGATGCGACATGACTGTTGTCCGGAGTGACCCACATTCGTACGTGGGCAACGTGGTGCACGGAGCTTCACAAGCGGTTTGAGCATGCACCTGACTCAGACAAGGCACGCGAAACTCTACGTATGTGGAAGCAGCTATGATCTGGGTCCGAATAAACCGTATCCTTCATGAGGTTGGTAAACAGATGTGGCTACATGCACGAGTTGGAGAAGGTCGTCAAGTACATGGGCGGTCTGAAGCCCGAAGTATAGTACCAGATAAAACTGCAACGCCCCGCGAAGCGGTTAGAAGACTATATCTAGCGCGCCGAAGCCGCTGATTCGATCATGAAGCCGAGGATGAACTTCTATGACGGAGGTCGCCCTCGAGAACAGTACCAGCACGCCACGATAAAATGGGTGGACGTAGTGGATATTTACGCAGCTGCTTTGGGAAATACGGGGCTATGCTACCACTGTGGCTGGCCAGATCATATCCGACGCAACTACCAAGAATTCATAGCCCTACAAAATTCTATGGGAAGAAGCCGGAGGAGTGACCGGGAAATGGGTCGCGTGAGTAAGTACCGGGCCCCTTACTGACGAGCAGACTTCTTCGCCCGAACCACACAGTCCCTACTGGGTCATGATTCCAATTGCTGTTATCGACCGAACCTGGACGAATATGGGGGACGAAACTATTGACCACCCTGTATTGGTGGAGGGTAAACTCAACGGGGTGTTTTTGAAGAATTTTGTTGATGGAAGCACGAGTCACAGTCTCATACAGCTGGGCATGACAAAAAAATTGGGATTTTCCCTTACTAAGGTGTTTAGCTGAGATTGATGCCCGCCTGGTAGATGGCACGCCGCTGGCAATATGGGAGCGAGTGGAGAACACCAGTTTTCCCTGTGGGGAGCATGTAACATTTCGAATGGGGCTGCTGGCGACGCCTCTTGATGGGTGCGATGTGCTGCTGGGACGTGATTCATTGCGAAGGTACAATTTGAAGATCGACTGGACGATGGGTGGCTGCAGCATCAAGCTCGATGGGATTTCCAGAGAGCTGCCCAAGTGGACGGGTCCTCGCATGCGAAGATCCCAAGTCCACGCAATCACCTTCAAGAAGGCGTTGCGGGCTGGAGCTGAAGCGTACGCGGTTGATCTGCATGAGATGGCATCAACAGTCGAGAATGAAGACATTGAGAAGATATGCAAGACCGTCCCTCAGGATTTAGCAAACCTGATTCGGAAGTACCCGAAGATTTTTCCGGACGACCTGCCACCTGGACTCCCATCGAGCTGACATGAGGACCACAGAATCGAGTTGGAACGAGGCATCCAACCGACTGTATAGCTCCAATTTCGGCTCAGCCAACCAGAACTGGAGGAATAACAACAACAACTGGATTATTTAAAGATTTTAATGATTTTAAAAGATTTTAAAGATTTTATTGCTACTACTGCAATTTTAAAGATTTTTAAACAGCAATTTTAAAGATTTTTTTGCTACTACTGCAGAGTGATGCTACGCCAGCCAATGAGAAGGCTGATTTTCGGGAATTCAGAAAATCTCTCCCAACCAAACCTCATCTTCAGGTCCTCAGACGGACCTGCATGGCTTCAGGTCTGTCTGAGCCAGCAGAATTCTGTTGCCGCAGCACGGCGCGCGGCAGACTTGAGGTCCGCATGTCTGCTTCTCGTTTGGATGTTGCTGCTTTGGTTAGCTCCATACCTACAGGTTTGGGCCTGGGCAGCCCTGGTCTGGTTGGTTCCCCAGAAACGAACGAACCTCGAATCTACCCAGACGTTCTGCTACGGCTCCTCCTGCAGCCTGTCGCTGCTTCTGGTGCTGTGCGTTTCACTTGGGTTGGGCGATTATTTCAGGTGTTCCGCGCCCTATGTCATGCCATGAGTCGATTCACGAGTCACGACTCACGAGTCACAGAAGTCACAACCCACTTCCATACCTGCTGTCCATTCATCCCTTGCCTCAGAAATCGCCTTTCACATTTAGCGACCATGACGCCGATTGCCGTCTTATTGTTGTGGGTAGTCGTATAACCTGGTGCGTGGCTTTAGGAATGGCGGGAGAATCAGCTGTAACCTTTCTCCTTCACGGTGGTATCTCTCTATCCACATGAGTGATCGGCATGGAGCAACCCTGGATCGAACATGTCCCTGGACCTCGTCCGTTTTTCTCTAAGCAACGTTTTTATAGACCACGCCTTAGCTGGCGTTCTCAGTCATCATGCCCTAGCTCGAGTATCGGTTTCTAGTGCTTTATTTTTTGTTAACTAGGGCTACTCGCACCTCTTAGTGGCACGTCTGCTGTCCTTTAACGGCTATTCCTCAACTCACGTATCCTTTTGGAGCCTTCATCCGTCTCGACGCACTGCAATCTTTGATAGAAAACACGGATTTGGACAGCGAAAGCGCAGGTTTGATCCCAGTGTTCGCGCCTTCTCGTAACCCGTGGCCGCAATAATATTTTAATCGCGTCGCAGCTTCTCCTAAGTCGACCAGGAAAGCGCCATGGCTCTTCTGGAGCATCTGAAGGTCGACCCCGGCAGTATTCGCTTCCAGTGTAAGCCCGTGCTCATGCCGTCGTCCCGTTGCTCCCCATTCTCCCCTTTCTCCTCGCTTTTAGCGTAACCCCAACCAATGCTAATGCCTCTATTTGCTGCTCGAGGCAGACTAGTGACTTTTTCCGCCAGCCGTTTCGTCGCACCCGCCGTTTTCAGACTAATTTAAACCTGGAGTAAATTATGAGAAGCGAGCCCTTCGTTTGCGGCTCTAACGCCACTCTTTGCTTTAAGTCACCAACACGCGGCTCGTATGCTTTCTCCCGGGGAAATTACAGTGGGAACATCGTACCTTGTAGCATGGCTCTGACAATGCCGGTGTGCTTCCATTGGTATCGCCATGGATCTTCCATAACCCTTTCGCCTCTCGCGTCACTGGCTTTGTCGACCGCGACTGAACCTAACCTAAAGCTGTATTAATTGCTGATGATAGATTCTCAGGATAGATTGTTTCACATCGCGTTTGAGTCAACGGTGGCAACTAGAACCGTACTTTGCAAAGCTATTCCTTAGCTGTCGAATACTGGTCCATCCAGTACCACTGCATCATGGCAAAGATTGCACTCTGGTGCCCAACTGTCTGCTGACGTGTCCAGAACTCCCCTCAACCGCGTTACATGTTACCATCGTACCGCAGAGCCTCAGGAATCCAGTTCTAAAGCCTAGTTTCTCAGCCGGGTACCGGACCCTACTCACCGCGGCAACACATATGTCTCCTAGCCTATGTCCTCCACCTTCCTGTTTCCTTCCCATTCCCTCCTTTCCCCCCCTTCCGCCCCCCCGGGATGCGCAGTCGAGGTGGGCCAGGAGCTCCGCAGCACCCTTCGCTTCACCAACTTCAGCGACCAAACGCTGGTCATTAGGGTGAGTCAAGGACGAACGCTGGCCATTAGGGTGAGTCAAGAACGAACGCTGGCCATTAGGGTGAGTCAAGAACGAACGCTGGCCATTAGGGTGAGTCGACGATGGTCATTAGGGAGAGTCAATGCTGGTCTACGGGGAAAGTCAACGCTGGTCATTAGGGCAATACCAGAGCAATATCTTTCGGTTGTTACCTATCTAGGAACAGAAGAAAATACAGCAACAAGTTACCCTGCTTTGAGACACCTCTAAACAAGCTTCTCCGCCCCCTGTGCCCCCATTTTTAACTCACCCCTGCTACTGCTCTGAGAGGCACCTCTTTTAACCATTCCATTCCACCCTATGTTTCCCCCTCCGCAGCTGACCCCGGGCACTGCTCGTGCGTACACTATAGTGGATGGGGGCATGCTGCTACTGCCGCCTAACAGCCTCGAAGAGAAGTCAGGTGCGTGGCGAATGGGGAGAGGGAGGGGTGGGGGGGAGGCCGAGAGAAGAGTGGGGAGGGGACGAGGAAGGGGAAGAGAAAAGAACCCCCTCGACCGGGCTCTGTAGAAACCATCCCGTCCCCTCCCCTTTTGAAACGACTCTAGCGTAAGCTCGCTTTCCTCGTTATTCTATCACCTCCTCACCCCTCCCCTCCATCCATCCTCCCCCTCTCCTCCCCTCACCGTACCTTCCTCCCTTCCCAAAACCACCGTACCTTCCACGCCCCGTCTCTGCACCTCCAGTGCTGTGTGCAGCCTTTGACAAGAAGCCCTTCTGGTTTCCCGCGGATTTCTTCACCCTCGAATGCTTCCTCGCTAACTCCATCCAAGAGGCTCGTCCCTACCCTACCCACCCGTTCCTCTCCCTCCGCCTCTTCGCTTACCTGCTTCCTGTGCTCCTGCTTCTCGCTCTCAGCTCTCTTCGATCATTGAATCTCGTTGACTGCTTCTGCTGTTCAAACTCAGCTGTCTGCCGCAACACACCCTTTTTGCACGTGTGTTGAGAGCTGGTGCTGGCAGCAGACCTTTCCTTATACATCCCCCAATAAATTACATCATTCTTATTTCACTCTCGTTCTCCAATTGTCCCCCCCCCTTCCCTCCCCCTCTCTCTCCCCCTCTCGCTGCGTCACAGGTGGAGCTGGGTCGCGATGTGGTACCCATAGGCCGTCGCCAGCTGCAGGTGGCCTTCAACGAACGACCGGGCGGCAACTCCATGCCCGCCCTCTTCAGTAACGTGAGAGAGAGAGAGAGAGAGAGAGAGAGAGAGAGAGAGAGAGAGAGAGAGAGAGAGAGAGAGAGAGAGAGAGAGAGAGAGAGAGAGAGAGAGAGAGAGAGAGAGAGAGAGAGAGAGAGAGAGAGAGAGAGAGAGAGAGAGAGAGAGAGAGAGAGAGAAGAGAGAGAGAGAGAGAGAGAGAGAGAGAGAGAGAGAGAGAGAGAGAGAGAGAGAGAGAGAGAGAGAGAGAGAGAGAGAGAGAGAGAGAGAGAGAGAGAGAGAGAGAGAGAGAGAGAGAGAGAGAGAGAGAGAGAGGAGAGAGAGAGAGAGAGAGAGAGAGAGAGAGAGAGAGAGAGAGAGAGAGAGAGAGAGAGAGAGAGAGAGAGAGAGAGAGAGAGAGAGAGAGAGAGAGAGAGAGAGAGAGAGAGAGAGAGAGAGAGAGAGAGAGAGAGAGAGAGAGAGAGAGAGAGAGAGAGAGAGAGAGAGAGAGAGAGAGCATGGGTTCCCAAGCTATATAAGGCCCTCTCCCTCTCATTCTCCTCTGTTTTTAGTTCAGTTCTCATTTCTCCTTCCTTGCCAGCGGAGAGAGCGAGAGAGAGAGAGCGAGAGAGAGAGAGCATGGGTTCCCAAGCTATATAAGGCCCTCTCCCTCTCATTCTCCTCTGTTTTTAGTTCAGTTCTCATTTCTCCTTCCTTGCCAGCGGCTCGCGTCGGCGGCCTCCGGCCGCCGCCGCTCGCAGCGCGGCCTTCGACCGCGCGTTCGGGGATGGCAAGAACACCAGGAAACGACTACTCCGTTTTCAATACAAGCACCAAGCCCCAAGGGCACAACAAATCCCTACACCGCCCGATCCAATGCCACCAGCATGGAGGGACTCCTACTACTGACGGGACGCTCGCCAACCTCCCAGACGGCCGCTGACGCGGGCCGCCCGCGAACGTACGCGAGACGCCACCCCGTCACTCGAACCCCACGGCCTCTTCCAGCTGCGCCGACAGTAGGCCCACCAGCACCCGCAGCGTGGACGCGCAGCTGCCTGCGAGATCTACGGCTGACGCCAACGCGATGCTCTCCGACATCGCTTTCATTGCGGCGGCCACGGCCGGTCCAAGCCACTTCCCGGGCCGGGCACGGGCAGCGCTTGCCCCATCACCACCACGAGGTCTGCAAGCGCGTCCGAACTCGTCCGCAAGTGTGAGTGCTGCATCTTTCGGGAGCTCTCTGACCCAGCAGCGCGGAGTGCGTCGCCTCCACGACCACCGCCAGCAGCCCAAACGCCCTCCTCGTCTGGCACATCCGACGGAACGTGGCTGCTGGAACCGCGACCACCTGCCCCGTCTGCCGCCTGCCTGGCAGACCGTCCTCCTGCGCCCCCGGTTGGCTCCGCGTACCCACTGGGCGCTGGGTCCGGGACTGGGCAAGGAACCCGGGGGAGATCTCCTCCGACGACTCCATCCCCCCCGTCTCCGCTGCTTCTGCCCCCTCCTCAACTCCATTTGGGGACACCGCCAGTCGACGGGGTGGCACGAAGGGCCCATACACCCCCACACCCGACGCACGGGCGGGAAGCCCAGGAGCCCAGTGATCGGGGACGAAGGACTGCGGAGGTGGTTGCCACTCGGGGAGCGCTCCACTGGAGGCCGCCGGTGTGTCCAGTGTGGGAGGCGCCATGGGAAGACGAGCCCCGCGGTACACAGGCGGCGGAGGTCCCAGGAGCGCCGACGCCGGCTGGAAACACACGGGCGCACTCGCCGGAAACAGCGACGGCGGATGCGGAGGGGCGAGGAGAGGCGGGAACGGATGACACGGACGCGGATTGCAACGCACCGGGCGCGGTCTGTGCAGCCCCTCCCATCGGCGCGGTCGAAGCAAGCGCCTGAACGCCACTTAGAATGCCTTCAAGGGTCCGCGCGCTGGTCGCCAGCTGGCGCTCAAGAGCCGCCGTCCCGTGCGGCAAGGCCGGCGCGACGGCCGCGACGCGGTCCAGCACGGCCGCCGCCCCCAGGAGTCCCCCAGGGCTGTGCAGCAGGCGGACCAAGACGGCCCGGAGATCGGCGGGGAGCCGGCTGCGGGGGGGGAGAGTGACGCGACGGCAGCCGCAAGGACGGCAGCGGCTCGGTCCGCCGCTGAGGCAGAGCGTGGGATGGTGGCGACGGCGACGAATGACGCGACGGCCGACGCGGGGACACCGGACGCGACGGCGGACGCGGGGAGGCGGGACGCGACGGACGCCGTGGGGACGAATAGCACGAACGCAGACAGGGGGAGGGCGGCCGAGACGGCGGGCGCGGTGACGGCGGCCGAGACAGCGGGTGGCGAGGCGACGACCCCGCTGGGCCACCGCTACGCTCTGCGCGCTCGGGCCCCAGGGTCCCTCCCTGCTCGCCGCGCAGAGCAGGCGCCGCCGAACCACTCCCCGCACGGGAACACACGGGTCCGGCGACTGCCGCTGGCTTCGGAGAGCGGGGATCCCCCGCTCCCACAACGGCGCGGAGTAGGCGGCCAAGCTCGCCAGATCTTGGGGGCGCCCGCTATCAGCCGAGCTCGACAGATCGGCGGATCGCCCCTGACGGCCGCGAAACCCCCCTTCGCTTCCCATCGAGCACTCACCGCCGCACCCCACCGACGGCAGGGACGCGCCTCGGGCCGCGACAAACGCCGCGAGGAGACCCGGGACGGGGTGGAGGTCAACGGAGAGAGCGCAGCAGGGCACACGAGCTCATGGCAGGGGGAGGGCCAGTGAACGACTTCCAGAGGGCTGCAGGACGGGCTTTAAGGGCGAGACGGAGGGAACAAGCAACTGACGAGGAGGAGAGGAGGGACCCGACTTATAGAGAGGAATCACAGTACGAGTCAAGCACTGAGGGACCGAAGGGGACGCTCGAAACGGAGCATTTCGGGGACAAGCGTCGCGACGCACACGGCACGCCCCAGCTCCCGCGGCTGAAACAGCCCGAACGCACGGAACGAGCGGGACCTCACAGAACAGACCAGCCAACCCCAGCGACAAATTTCGCCAGCAGAGCTAGCCGCCAACGAACAGCTTTTCGCGGGGGTAGCCAGCTGGGATATCGGGCTCCTCTGCAACAGTCGCCAACCCCCCCTTTCCCGCAAGATCCCCCCCAAACTTCGCCAGCTTTTCGCCCTCGTCCTGCTGACACCCCTCCTCCACCTCGCAGCCCAACCTACCAGCCTGCCAGGCTGGCGCCTGTTACTTTTCGCACCTCGACTGACACTTCGCCTCAACTCGCCAAAGCACCCTGACTGGCCCACCGTGGAAAAAAGGCTCCAGCAGTTCCTGGCAGGCGATTGGCACGAGCTTTACCTGGCAGCAGTGGACGCCATCCACGACCCACCGGCGCCACGTCACACAGGGGACACCCTCGGCAAAATATCTCGAGCCGAGGGGCTGGTCCGCCGAGGCAGCCTGAGGCGCGCCCTGCTGGCCCTCGACTCGACACCGGGTCAGCGAGTCAACCCAGGAAGTCCTCGAGGCGTTGAAAACCAAGCATCCACCGCCGCTGACTGAGTCACTCGCTTGGCCACACATCGACGAGTCGGAGGTCCCCCCCTCCCTCACGCTCGCAGAGTTCACCAGGTTACTGAGTCGCAGCGAAAACGGGGTCGGCGCGGGCCCCTCGGGAATGTGCTTCGAACACATTCGCGATGCAGCCCTCGCCAACAGCGCCGTCGCCAGCAAGCTCCACACCCTCGTAACTCAATTGCTGCGGGGCGACTCCACTCCTGACGTAGCAGCACTCCTCACAGCCAGCCGCCTACTCGCCTTCCCTAAACCCGACGGAGGCACGCGCCCCATCGCCGTGGGCGAGTGCCTCCACCGCCTTGCCGCCAAAGCAGGACTCATCTCGATGGCGGATCGGGCGCGCAATCACTTTCTCCCAGTGCAGTTCGGCGTCGCGGTGAAGGCCGGCGGCGAGGCAATAATCCACGGGGCCCGCGCGTTCGCCACCGAGCGACCATCCTCGCTCCTACTGCAGATCGACCTCACCAACGCTTTTAACAGCGTTGATCGCAGCGCCATCGTCTCGGGCCTCTATAACTCCCCCCTCCGCCCTCTCCTCCCCTTCGTCCAACTCTCGTACGGCGCCCCCTCCCAGCTGTGCCTCGACGCCGGCTTCAACAGCCCGCCCCTGCTCAGCGCTCGAGGCGTCCGGCAAGGGGACCCTATGGGCCCGCTGCTCTTTGCCGCCGCCATGCACCCCGCCCTGCAAGCGACAGCCGCAGCGTACCCCAGCGTCCTGTGCCTAGCGTACGCTGACGACATCACGCTGCTAGGCGAGCCGGCAGTGTGCACAGCGGCGTTCACGCACCTCACTGACGCTCTGACCCCCCTGGGCCTCACGCACAACCCATCTAAGTGCGCGGCCTGGTCCCAATCCCAACCCCCTCCCTCCCTCCTACCCCCCGGCATCCCGTTCCGCGACTCTGGACTGCGGGTCCTGGGCAGCCACATCGGCCCCCACGAGGCTGCGGCTCAGTTCCTGCGCGAGCAGCTGGCTGACATGGCCAGGCAGCTCCCCGCCCTCGCCGCCATGGACCCCCAGTCCGCCTCCCTCCTCCTCCACCGCTGCGTCGCGCGGCGGGTATCTTACCTCACCCGCACAACCCCACTGAACCTGCTCCCACAGGGGGAATGGTCCATTTGGGGGCGGGAGCTCTTCCTTACCCTCCTCCGCTCCTGCAAACTCCAGACACCACGGGGAGAGCGGGAACTTGCACGCACCTGGGAGCAGGCCTCACTCCCACCCTCCCTAGGGGGCCTGGGCTTAGTGGACCCAGCAGTGGACGGTCCACATGCGTTCTTGACCAGCGTGGCCCAGGCACACAGGCTCCTGCTCTCCCTCCCCTCGGACCCCACCGGCCCCTTGGCGACCGCCGCATGCGCTCTCGCACCCCCCTACACCAGCCCCACCCCACTTCACACCTGGCTGGCGGAGTGTGAGGCAGCACTCCCGGCCCCGGCCCTGGAGCTCCTGCGAGCCGAGCGCCTGGAGCCCTCAGACGAGCCCCTCCAGCACCGACTCGCCCTGGAAGTCCACGCGGCACGGTTTGCTGCTCAGCTGGCGGCCACCCGGGAGATGGAACTCAACCCCAAGAGCGGCCACACACAACGGCTCCTCTCCCTCACCGGTTATGGCGCAGGAGACTGGCTCCTCGCTATCCCACTCTTCCCCTCCCTCCGCCTCGCCCCCCCGCACTTCGCCATAGCCCTGGCATTCCGCCTGGGCCTCCCCTTCCCCGCACCCAAGGTGTGCAACTGCACCAAGCGGGTACAGATCCTGGACCCACGACTCCCGAACCACCTGTTCCGCTGTGGGACCGGACACGGCCGCACCGACACCCATAACGCACTCAGGGACGAGTGCATCCGCATGGCACGGGACGCCCAATTCATCGTCACCAAAGAGACGGCGATCTACAACCCGGTCGACGGCAAAACCGCCGACCTTGCCATCCGGGATCGGGACTCGGGGGCGGTGTGGATCTGCGATGTCACCGTCACCGACCCGGTCAGCTCACGAGACCCGCTAGCCCGTAAAGGCCGCGGCTACATGGCCAGAGAGCAGGCCGACAAAAAGATCGACGACTACCGCAGCCGGGCGGAGTACGTCGGCTTTTTCCCGCTGGCGGTAGAGACATACGGCTGCCCCTGCGCCGAGGTGCCCACCTTCCTCAAACTCCTGGCACACACGGCCGCCCGCCGCCTTTTCAACGCCGACCCCAGCTCCTACCAAGCCGCAAAACTGCTCAGCCAGTTCCGGCAACGCTGGTCCATCACACTCCAACGGGGACAAGCGCTCTCGTACCTGGGGAAGGTGAACGAGGCCTCTCCCCTGGAGTGGCCCCCCTTGGGCGCCCCGGACGCCTGCATGTCCCTTGGAGACTGTTTTGCAGTGATAGAGCACCAGGGCGAACGAGAGTAGACGGGGTCCCGATAGGAGACTCACCTGAGCCGAGACACCAGTTTGTACCAATCCGGCATGCCTAGTTTGTACCCAGGATTGCCCATCAACGACGGACCGTTCGAGAGAGAGAGAGAGAGAGAGAGAGAGAGAGAGAGAGAGAGGAGAGAGAGAGAGAGAGAGAGAGAGAGAGAGAGAGAGAGAGAGAGAGAGAGAGAGAGAGAGAGAGAGCAGGTGATCGTGATGGACGAAGAGGAGCACATGGCCTCGCTTCGGCTCAGCATGGTCCAGCACTTACGCATGTCGTGGGAGGAGCTGCATACATGATCGACAGTTTCCTCGTCCAGACTCTTGATCAACCGGGAGCACATGTTTTTTAACAGAGCAGGAACCGTATGATTGGCCAGCGAAGGCTAGAGAAGATCAATGAATACACAAGAAATGCCAAGGAGTGCTGGAGCAGGAGAGACGAGCAACGTAGAGCACGGAAACGCACATGCGGGTGAGGTGTGTGAGGTCGAAGAGCGCTGACGGTATGCCCCCAGTGAGATCCAGCCTTGCCAACTCACTGCACCACAACCGGAGTGAAGGAAGGAAGGACGAGGCACACGGTTGAGGACGAAGCAAGCCATGTGGTTGAGGTGCCTTAAAAAGCAGAGTGGAAAAAGGGAGCGTCATAGCACAGGCGACCAACAAGTCAAAGCAAAACCAATCAACTCTCAACCAGTACTTACTGAATGAAGCAATCATGAAAACAGGAGTGGAGGGGTGAAGGGGGTTTGGGGAGGGCAAGAGACGAGTAGGATACTTACAGTTCAACAAGGTTGGTGAGCTGACTGATGGACGCTGGAAAAGAAAAAGACGAGTAGTCTTCGGTCCTTATGACTCTGGTGCGCCAAGACATGGTTTTTGCAACCAGGGGGAAGAAGAGGAGGACAGTAGGGAGAGGAGGTAGGGGCGTGGATTGGAAGAAGTGCGAGAGGGGACACACATAGATGGCATCCATGTGGCATGATGCTGCAGATGTGCATACATGGCATGGCATGCACTTTGCATGGGAGGAAGGACACACAAGATAGACAGTTCTCCTTGACATACCCCCAATCAAGTGGGAGCCATACGCGCTTTAAACACCCTCGAGAAATGCAGAGGCACGTGGGAGCAAGAGAGAGGAGCAAAGTGGGGTAGGGGAACGCACACGCGGGTGAGGTGTGTAAGAGTGAAGAGCTCTGAAGGGATGCCGTCAGTGAGGTCAATGCTGGACAACTCTCTGCACAGCCGGTGTGGGGAGAGGGAGGGAGCCATCCGTGTGTGCAAGGGATGCAGTTTAGATGCATCAAAGGCAGAGTGGAGGGATCGAGCCTCATGGCACAGGCACGAAGCAGAAGCCAGATTGATACTTTCTCAACCGTTACTTAACTAAAAGGAATCGTGAAAACGGGCGCACAGGGCTGGAGGAGGCTTGGAGAGGACCTGGGAGTACTAGATTTACTTACAGATCAGCAAGGTTGGCTAGCTGAGTGATGGACTGCGTTAAAGAGAAAGACTGGGAGTAGTAAGACTGGTAATATTCACTGTTGCCTCTTATGATTCTGGTGGACCAAGACGTTTTTTGCAAACAGAGGGAAGGGAGAATGGGACGGGAGGGAGAGGGGGATGGGATGGGAGGGATAGGGGGCGGGGAGGGAGAGGGGGCCGGGAGGGAGAGGGGGCCGGGAGGGAGAGGGGGCAGGGGCTTGGCATGGATGAAGTGAGAAGGGGGACACACATGGCATGCATTTGGCAGGCATGATGCCAGACATACATACATGATGCCAGACATACATACATGATGCCAGACATACATACATGATGCCAGACATACATACATGATGCCAGACATACATACATGATGCCAGACATACATACATGATGCCAGACATACATACATGATGCCAGACATATATACATGATGCCAGACATACATACATGATGCCAGACATACATACATGATGCCAGACATACATACATGATGCCAGACATACATACATGATGCCAGACATACGTACATGATGCCAGACATACATACATGATGCCAGACATACATACATGATGCCAGCCATACATACATGATGCCAGACATACATACATGATGCCATGGCATGCATTTGGCATGGGAGGAGAGGAGGACACACGAGATAGACTGCTCTACTTGACATACCCCCAGTCGACTGGGAGCCATACGTTGTTTGAGCAGAGCGGAAGCCATATGCTGGGCAAACGAATGCTGAATGAGTTGATGAATATTGAACACACCCTCAAGAAACGCAGAGATTATCCGGAGCATGAGAGGGAAGCGATGTGGGGTGGGGGAACGCACATGCGGGTGGGGGAACGCACATGCGGGTGGGGGAACGCACATGCGGGTGGGGGAACGCACATGCGGGTGGGGGAACGCACATGCGGGTGGGGGAACGCACATGCGGGTGAGGTGTGTCAGAGTGATGAGCGCTGGCGGAACGCTGTCAGTGAGCTCAACGTTGGACAACTCTCTGGACAGCCGGTGTGCGGGGGGAGGAAGAGGCATGCGTTTGAGGTGCACCAAAACCAGAGTGGAAGGAGGGAGCCTCATGGTAGAGGCAAGAAATAAACGAAAGTCAAATTCATTTACTCTCAAAAGCAATCACGAATACAGGCGAGCAGGGGAGGAAGCGGGCTTGGAGAGGGGTTGGGAATAGTGGGTTTACTTACAGCTCAGCAAGGTTGATTAGCTGACTGATGGGCTCTGAAATAGAAAAAGGCTGGTAACCGTTGTCCCTTATGATTCTAATGTGCCAAGGCATGGTTTTTGCAGCCAGGGGGGAGCGGGGGATGGGAGGGAGAGCGGGATGGGAGGGAGAGGGGCAAGGGGTTTGGCATGGAAGAAGTGGGAGGGCGGACACACGTGGCATGCATTTGGCTTGGGAGGAGAGGATGGACACACATGATAGACAGCTCTGCTCCACAGACCCCCGATGGACTGGGTGGGAGCCATGCGATGTTTGAACAGAGTGGAAGCCATGTGCTGGGCAAACGAATGCTGAATAAACTGATGAACGTTAACACACAAACACACCCTCAAGAAGGGACTCGTTGGAGCAAGAGAGAGGAGCAATGTGGGGTAAGGGAACGCACACACGGGTGAGGTCTGTAAGAGTGAAGAGCTCTGAGGGAACGCCGCCGTCAGTGAGCCCCACGTTTGACAACTCTCTGCACAGCCGAGGTGGAGGGAGGAAGAGGCGTGCGGTTGACGTGCCCCAAAGCAGAGTGGAAGGTGACGAGAAACATCTCAAGGCCAAACCAACACACCCTCAAGCCAAGCAGTAAGACAATCATAAAAACGGGTGTGCGGGGATGCAGGGGGGTAAGGGAGGGCGAGAGAGAGATGTGTATCCCCCTGCATCCCCGCACACCCGTGAGTTTAGTGTATCCGTGATGCAGTGGGTTTACTTACAGCTCCACAAGGTTGGTTAGCTGGCTGATGGATCGTGGAATGGAACAAGGCTGGGCATTGTAGCCGCCCACGACCCTGATGGACGGAGTGCACCACGTGAGCCAACCATTTTTTTGCAACCAAGGGCCAAGGGAGAGGGGGACGGTAGGGAGAGGAGGCGGGGGCTTGGCTTGGAAGAAGTGGGGGGGGGGGGCACACCTGGCATGCTTTTGGCATGGTGCGGCAGACATACTTGGCATGCATTTGGCATACCGCAGCAGCCATGCATAGCGGGCATTTGAAATAGCACAGCAGCCATGCATAGCAGGCATTTGGCATAGCGCAGCAGCCATGCATAGCAGGCATTTGGGCATACGAAGAGGGACACACAAGATAGACAGCTTTGCTTGACAGGCCCCCAATCAACTGGGAGCCACCCACTGGTTGAACAGAGCAGAAGCCAAGTGCTGGACAAACACGAGAACGGCTGTAGCAAGTTGGTAGTGTGATGCGATGTGGGGTAAGGGAACGCACATGCGGGTGAGGCGTGGAAGAGTGAAGAGCACTGAAGGAATGTCGCCGATGAGCCTAACATTTGACAACTCTCTGCACAGCCGGGATGGAGGAAGGAAGAGGCATGTGCGTGGACAACAAGTGCGATTGAGGCGCCTCAAGAGCAGAGAAGGAGGAGGGAACCTCATACTACAGGCAAGGAATAAGGCGAAGCCAAACCAATACACTCTCAACCTTTACTAGATAAGAACAATCATGAAAAGGGAAGTGCAGTGGAGGGCTGGAGAGGTTTCATCGAGGGTGAAAGATTCACTCACAGCTGAGCAAGGTCTGTTAGCTGGCTGAGGGACTCTGGAATACCACCACCAAATAGGCCACAGTTGGTTTTTATTCTTTACGCGCCTCAAAGATTCACTTACAGCTCAACAAGGCCCGTCAGCTGGCTGATGGACTCTGGAATAGCACCAGTTAGGCCATAGTTGGCACTCCGGCTACCAGTGCCTCTTATCACTCTGGTGAACCGAGACGTGTTTTGCAGCACAGGGGAAGAGAAAGGGAGGCAGGAGGGAGAGGGGGAAGGTACTTGGCAAGGAATCTTTCGGACATAGAAAGGAGGCGTCCCTAAACCCTAAACCCTGAACACATGGCATGCATTCATTCTTTCTTGGAGCGCCAAGGTTACATTGCATGCCTTGGTTTTCACATAGAGCAGCACTCATACATACAGTTGTCATGATTCGGGAAAGGCATGGCATGACTTTGGCATGGGAGGAGGGACATACATGATCGACAGCTTTGCCAGATCCCCAACCGACTCGGGTATTTCGCCAGAAACGACATCTTCTAGAACCATCCTGGAGGTAGGAGTAGTAGGAGGAGTGGTAGGAGTATGGAGACACGAGGACTGATAGGAAAGGGTGAGGGCATGGGAACAGGGGTTAAAACGGACCGTCACTTGCAGCAGTGCAGCGAGGGCACATCGCAAAAATTCAGTGTCCGAAAAGCATTTGCGCAGTGTTGTTGCGAACACCTTTCAGGTGGTTTCCAAATTGGTGGGTCCAAACACTTCGCGGTGTAAGTTGGAAAGACCTCGCAGATGGTTTGTCAAACACCACTCAAATGGTTTGTCAAACGCCACGCAGATGGTTTGCCGACACCGCGCTGATGTTATTTGGTCGTACGCGATAACACCTCCACGTCACCATGCGGTCATGCTGGAAGAGAACTTTTGTACTGTGCACGAAGACCATTACAAGTTTGTTCGCGTCACGCTTACATCTATTCATTGTGTTTGAGGCGTGTTGTTGTCCTTTTTTTGGTACATTCTATATCCGTTACTGCCACATTCGCTAGTACTCCATTGCCACAGATATTAGGCTCATTAATTGGTATAGATGGCCAGTAGAAGAAACACATCAGTGTCACAAGAAAACACATCAGTGACACAAAATCTCAGGGTTTAGACCTCTACCCGCATCCAAGCTGTGATCGCCCTACCAACCGCATCCGGACAAAAGGACCACTACCCTGGAAGTAAATCGGAAACGACCCGTACGATGGCATCAACCCCCTCCTTCCTCGTTGAGAGAGCACATACTGCTGCTGCAAGCCCCCACCTACTCCCACCGCTGCCGCTGCAGCTATGATAAACCTAGCTAACCACCAAGGTATGAGTCTGGCCCTGCTGCTGCTTGTGGTTCGTTCATCCCACAACCCCCCCTCCCCCCCCCCCCCCCCCACACCACAGGCTGCTGCTGAGACCCCTCCCTCGCTGCTGCCACCTGTGCCTCATTCTCCATATCCCCTCTCCCCCCTCCCCCCCAAGGCTGCTGCTGAGACCCCTGCCTTGCTGCTGCCACCTGTGCCTCATTCCCCAAATCCCCTCTCCCCCCACCCGAATCTGCTGCTGAGACCCCTCGCTTGCTGCTGCCACCTGTGCCTCATTCCCCGAATCCCTCCCCCCACCCTAGGCTGCGGCTGAGACCCCTGCCTTGCTGCTGCCACCTGTGCCTCATTCCCCGAATCCCCTCTCCCCCCACCACAGGCTGCTGCTGAGACCCCTCCCTTGCTGCTGCCACCTGTGCCTCATCCCCCAGTCCCCTATCCCCCCCTCCCCAAGCTGATGCTCATATCCATTCCTCGCGCCCGCTGTTGCCTCAACCCTTTAACTCCCCCCCCCCCACCACAGCCTGATGCCGAACCCACTCATGCGCTGCTGCCGGTGCCTCATATCACAAATGCTCCCAACCACAACTTCCAGTTCTTGCCGCTGCTGTGAGCGGCTTTATCAATACCCACTATAGTGTGATACCCAAATGTCAAGGCCACTCACATCCCTCAAAAGGAACCCGCCCTCGAGCGCCCCCACCCCAACCTGCTGGTCCTGAAAGCCCCGCACACCACCCGCCCAGCCCACCTGTTTCACATCATTTCGCTGCCAGCACCCCACCCCTCAAACGACGCTGCCACATCATGCATCTGCAAACACCCCATGGTTATGAACCCAGCACACGCCAGTACTGGCGCTTGCAATAAGCCCCTCCCATTGTGGGATGGCTGCCCCTTCAGAATGATGCTGACAGACCCTTCCCTCCAGAGCCCACGCCAATACTTGGCTCCACTTCCGTCCCAGTTGTATCCGTCCCCTGCCCTGAACGGTGTGGTGATGCCACCCCTGCACATACCTGCCTCACCCCTGCAAAAGGACCCTTAATCCTTAGCCTCTCCCTCTCCACCTTTGGGCGCCTTCCCCTTGCCCTCCCTCCCTGGTTCCTGCCACTCGTCCTTGAAGCCACTCTCATGGACGTAAAGTCCATACTCTCCCCATTTCCACCCCCGCATGTCCTTGCTGTACTCCTTGGGGTAGTTGCTGAAGTGGTCAATGACCACCTGTCGCACCCTCTTGTGAAGGTCCGTTATCCAGGCCTTGTTCTTGGGGTGTGAGTTAGAGAGGCCCATCGTGGTGTGCCTGCGGCGGGTCAGCCCATAGTCGACCTGGGGAAGAGGGTGGCCGAGGGGGTTTGTAAAAGGGTCAGGGAGGTGGGGGACGGGAATGGGGTTGCATGAGCCGAGCACAATCGGGAGGATACTAGAGCCCAAGCCACGGCGTCCTTTAAGGCGCGCTCCCCGCCACTTACCACCATGATAATCCAGGCAATGTGATACGCCTTCAGACAGAGCTTCCCCGCCACAGCCCACTGCTGAAACGCATCGAACGCCGCCTGAAAGAAGATCTTGTTGGCAAAAGGCTGCCCGGAGTGCACCCCTGGGGGTGGCTTCGCCGAGCCCCAGGTGCTCACCAACTGCCCAAACCTCCTTCCTGTTGGGGGTAACGGCAGCACAGATGGAGGTGCATGATGCTCAAATGGTGTGAGGATATGGGGAGTGAACACGAGGTATTAACTTCAATGACATGCGCCCTACTAAACAACTGTGACCGCGCAGCTACATGAGTACTTACGAGGCTTGAAGTCATGCCAGAGGGCCATCTTGTCATCAAGGTCCACATGGATCTTGGAGCCCCTCGCCCACTTGACCTTCACCCCTAGCTCCGTCAACACCCGCCTCTTGATCAGGAACCCCCGCTCGTTCTTCCACTGCGTCCATACACGCTTGAACTTATCGTTGTAGTTGTTGTCGGTCATTGCCTCCTGAACAGCCACGAAAGACACGTCGTAGCCCTCCATCACCAAAACCGTGTGAAGGTCCACCATGCGGAGGTAGAAGGTCGTGTAGAAGTCAATGCCCGCATCAGGCGCATCGATGCACATCCGGTCGCGCGAGGTTTCGTAATGGATCTGTGGACGGATGGGCGTCGGGGGGGGGGGGGGAATGGGGGGGAGAGAGGGCGGGGACAGACAACCAGAGGCATGGGGAGACGGAGGGGAAATGGCAGCAAAGCAGATGCCAAAAAGCAGGTGAGATGTGGAGAGAACTTGTGTGCCACACCAGGAATGAGAGAAGCTATGGGTATGGGTGGGAGGGAGGGGAACAAACATGCAAAGGATGGAGGGAGAAGTACTCCTTGTTGCCAGAGGCAGAGAACCTGTGGGAAGGGGCAGGAGGGAGAGAGTAGGCGGGCAAGGGCAGCGACATGAGGGAGAGATCTCGAGGTCAATGAAAGGATGGAGAGAACGTGTGGATAGGGGCACGAGGAACAGGGTAGGCTGGCAGGGGCATCCAGGGTAACGACATGAGCGAGCAAACCTGCGGACAGAGGGCAGGAGGGAGAGAACATGTGGAGAAGGGCAAGAGGGAGAGAACCTGTCTGTAAGGGCAGGAAGGAGAGGGTGGGCGGGCAAGGGCACACAGGGCAAGGTCATGAGGTGGACAACCACCGGCCAATGGCATGTGAGTGATCTGTGGGCAAGGGCAGGATGGACAGGGTAGGCAGGCAAAGGCAATGAGGGCATCGACATCAGGGGGAGAACCTGTGGGCAGAATGGGGGTGAGACAGAGAACCTGTGGGCAACAGCAGGGGGGAGAGGGTCGGTGGCCAAGAGCATACATGGCATTCCCATGAGGGAGATATCTCACGGTAAGGGCAGGAGGGAGAGAACCTGTGGGCGGGGGCAGGGGGAGAGGGTAAGGGGGGAAAGGACATACAGGGCAAGCTCACGAGGAGGAGAACTTGGGGCCATGCGCTGGATGGAGAGAACCTGTGGACAAGGGCAGGAGGGAGAGGGTCGCACGGGCCTGAGGATGACGAGATCCAACGCAAAGGAAATTGTCACCAGATTCTGTCAGGCCAGCCGAGCGGTTGTAAGTGGGGCACGTACAAGCAATGGACACCAAGTCGACATGCAAGTCTTGCCTTGCAAGGAAGAGCGATTCATTGATGACTCACCCCAATCTTCTTCAGCGAGGGCATGCCCTTCTTCCGTTGCACCACTGCCATCCCCGTGCTCTCGCCCACCAGATCCGTGCCGGTATCGGGGCCGCTGGATGCGGAAGCGAGTCGCGGAAGGCCTCGATCCCGCTCTCCCTTAAACTCCTGGATCTTCCCTATGGCCTCCCTCAACGCCCGCCACAGCAGTTGTGGTGTCACGTAGGTCGGCATCTCTTCTGCATCCGCAATGTCTTCCCAGGAGAAGCGCCCCCCCTTGGAGTCCTCACCCTCAGGCCGCCGACGCTTCCCGTCATGCCCGCCAGCGCCTTCATACTCGGCCGCAGCGCGTTTGCGCTGAGAACCTGTGGTGGCATGCTGATGTGTCTGATGGTTCCCCTCAGGCCCATACTCCCCCGTGGCGCATGCCCACATCCCACCAGCAGCACGGCCATCATCACTTTGCTGCTTCCGGCGTTCCAATCCAGCATGACCCGCCGCGCGCCCACGTGTGTCCGCCACACTGATACGCAACTCGCTGCCACTCTGAGCATTGTTCCCGCCACGCCACGGGCGACGCTCGTTCGCAGCTTCGCGAACCCTGGGTGGGTTCTTCTCCGACGCCTCCTCATCGTTGTCCTCCCCTCCGTAACCTGAGTCCGCCTTCTTGGATCCCCTCGGGTACTTGTCCAGTGCATCCTTTCCGCTCTTGTTAGGCTTCCACTGGGCAACCACCTCCTCCTCATCACTGGATGAGGCCGCCTTTGCGTACACGTTGCTCCGGTCGCCGCCGCGTTGACGCTTCTTGTGGCAGGGCTCGAGCTCCCCCGCGGACTCACTCTCTGAGTCGCTTTGCTCATTCCCGTAGGCGTCGTCATCATCCTTCGACTTCCATCCCTTTTGCTTGCCCCTGGATGCCCGATCCTTGGAGCTGTTGGTGCGGCGTCGGTCCTCTAACCCCCCTCGCTGCCGCTTCTTCTCCCACCCGTGGTTGCCACGTCCGCTGGTCTTACCGCGCCTGCGACGTCGAGAGCCGCCGCGCCTCCCTTGATGACGTTTACCATGGCTGTCATCGCAGGATTTTCTCTCCAAGTCTGCGAACTCGCTCTCACACTCCTCGTCATCATAGTTCTCCTCGCTGCCGGAACTGCTGCCGGACTCCGTGCTCTCCTCATCGGAATCGTCGTCAGATACCTCCTCCTTGTGCTCTTTCTTGGGGCGGAGGCCTCCGCGATTCTTAGGGGTTGGCGTCCTCGGCTTCAATACAGCACCGCGCTGATGAGCCGCCTTCTTGCCCTCGCCGCCACCGTCTGGCGCATGATCCGCGCCATCCGCGGAGCCCCAAGGTTGCACTGCAGGCATGTCATTGCCTTTTCCTGCTTCCGTGGTCCGAGGGGGGGACACGCCACCAGCCATAGGTACCGAAGTATCCACATGCATCTCCACTGTGCCTCCGTCCACTCCCTTTCTGGCGGGAACCATTGCCCACGGGCCGTCCGCCCTTCAGCAGGCGTGTCACGCCCGTCATATGCCACCTCACACCCGCCCGACTCCTTATTGTTTTCCACCTCTGTAGCCGTCTTCATCTCGCCCGCCTCATCCTTCCCGCAAGCACTCTTCTCGGGAAGTGACCCACACCCATCTTTCTGCCCCGCCATCTCCATCTTCCCTTCCGCGGTGCCGAGCTTCCCGCGCAAACTCGTGTCCTTCGCCGCCTCCTTCCGATCTACCTCTCCCTCTGCCACAGATTGCTTCGGTCCCTTTTTCTTCTCCTTGCCGTTAGCCTTCTTGTTCGTCGAGACCGCGCGCCGCTTCGCACCTGCCAACAAATGGAACGCTCGACATGGCGGTTAGGCCATGAGTAAGTACTCCCCATGTGCAACCACATACAACCAAGCGTGATCAGGGGTGAAGAAAGCTCACCCCTCTCAACAGCCTCGGGGTCGAGCTCATGAATGCTCTTCTTCTTGGGTGGCTTTCGTTTTTTTTGGCGACCGCAATTTCTCTGGAACGTCATCGTATGGTGCGCCATCCTCCCCATCGTCGCTCTCGTCGTCACTGCTATAATCGCTACCATCTCCCTTCTTGCAGCCCCTGACAGAACATGGATGCCGTTTCCGGTACTCAAGGAGGGCCTCCTTCGTCTCGCTAGGCGTCACCTTGCGACCCTGGTGCTCCGCAGGACCATCCTCATCTCCCTCAATAACATAGGGGCCGTTCAGCTTGACGCTATTCCTGCGCTCTCTTTCTCCGCGCCTGAGGGTTTCGTTGGCCATTTTGGAGCAGGTGCAAGCCCTACAGCTAGACTGGGTGAAATGCTAATGGAAGGGATAGCACGAAATGGGCTACAAAAGAGTGGAGTGGATGTGGTACACAATCAGGAGTGGGTGGAGCAGCCAACGAGGGGGTGGAGATGATGGATCGGCCTGTGAGGCAACAGGACGAACCAACGGGGGAGGTTTGGTTGGGAGAGGAACTTCAATACAGTCAACCATCCGATAACGCCGTGATATGCGGGGAGGAGCAGTTTGCACGGCCAAGATTCATCGACCAGTCGACTTCTGCCTGGCTGTGTCAATCAACCTATCCCTCCTCGGGATTGTTACAAGGCTCACACCAAACCTCGAACCTGCTGCGTGCGCATCTGCCCAGCCATACGATGCAGAGAGCCTGCCTAAAGGCTTTTTTTAGGGCAGGCTACAATTTACGATGCTCGTGTTCACGTATAACCCAGCACGCTGTGCTTTCGTTCCAGCTGCAACATGCCCATCCCCCTATTGTTACTGAACTCCGTCGATGTTTATCGAGCAGAGGCGACCATTTGTTCAACATCCTAAACTTTGGGTGACGGGCCACTCTCACAAAAGTGGACTGCCAGCCTGGCATCGCAAAATAACAGGGGTGGTAGGTTCGGCCAGACCAGGCGAGACTTAGCCTACAAGGACAGATTGCACGTACACTCTCACCTGTTGTTGGCTTTGTACTGATAGAATAATACAAAGTTGAATTAATGGCCTCTTTCTGTTGAACCATTTTTACACCCGTGTTCGCTGCATTTATTAAATTGGGGTTTGATTTATGACATTTCCATTCATTTTAACATATTCCAGTGGTAAACATAATTGCAAGTTTCGCACATACCGTATTCTCCCGGATACAGTACCTGCCGGAATTAAGCTCCCATGGGTGGCTTGAACGGGTATGGGTGTTTAATTAGACTGGATCCAGTTACCACCCTACTTTTGGGGTTGAAATCAATTGAACACCCTCCCCCGAAACGGGCCACTACATTCCAGTGAATCTTCACTAAACAATCAGGAATTAGAGGTTAGCTAAACAACCTAAGCCTGCTTGGATGTCCTAGAGGTATATAAGGGGACCACAATACAAGCTACCACTACTCTAGCTCATGCTGCTACTGCCTCTGCCACGTGCTCTAGTCGTCCTCGTCATCATCTTCATCGTCGCCAGCATGCCACTCCTCAACATCACTCCCATCTGCCAGATCAGCCCACCAGTGGCTGTTATCATCCTCTTCAGCAATGCCTTCAGCCGGCCACTCCACACTGTCTTCAGCTCGTTGTGCTTTTGCTTCTATCTCTGCCTCTGCTGTAGAGAGGTCGGCATCATCTGCTACTGCCGCTCTTGCTGCCGCTTCATCCATGTCGCCATCGGCTTCTGCTGCCGCCGTGGCATCATGCTCCTCGTCGTCGGCTAAGTCCTCGTCGACGTCGATCGTGCGGTCATACAGAGGGTTGACATAATCGCTCTCACCCCCTTGAACATGGACGTCGTCCAAGAGTTCCACGCCCGGCTTCTCGCGGAGGTGACGGAGAGCCAAGTTGTCCCCGGAGCCATCCAACGCGTTCGAGATCCCACAGGTGTTGAACGAATTCCGTATGAGCTGAGTCTGTGGCGGTGTTGTCGCCCTCGCTAGACGTGCGACTTGGGCTCCGAGAGGGCGACGATACTGTCGGTCGGGATGGATGGTGGAAGAATGCCTGCTGACCGTAAGGGCCTCTCTGAGATAGCACACGCAACATGCCTGTGCCATACGCCATGGCGGGAGCCTCTAACAGAAACCGAGTGGGGTGCATGAGACAGCCCTGTCAGGGGCTGTCTTGTAGGCATTCTGCTGCTGAATGGCGAAATGAGGCAAAAAGGTCAGGTAGACCCACTTCAAGAATGGGATGGAGGGGAAGGAAGGGACGTGCGTGACTCCTCGTCCCTATCGATCACGAACAGCCCCTTCACGAGCATCCAGCGTACGATTGTGTGCAATGGACGGTCGTGGGTGGGCCCTGAATGGAATCTCCCCTTGGATGTCGTCAAGCAACGCTGTGATGGCACAGCGCTGCATGGAAGCAGCTAGGATGAGGCTTGCGGCACGCCTTCATTGGCTGATTTGCCAGCATTTCCGTGACTCAGCTGGTTTAGTCAACGACGTGGCTTGTATATGGACCACATCGTCA